GGAGGGGGGGCGCTTCCGCCGGTGAGACCGCCGTCTTTTGTCTCCTCCCGCGCGTCCTCGTTCCTCAGGAGCCTTCCCCGTTGTCTTGACAGCAATATTACAAGATCCGTAGCCAGGCCGTTCAGCACCTGAAGGGCACGTCTGAGGATCCCTACCCGCATAAGTTTCACGTGGACCTCTCCCTGACGGACTTTATAGAGAAGTATGGCTTTCTGCAGGCAGGGGATCACCTAACCAATGTCACAGTGAGAGTGGCAGGTAAAGGCTCACCTGGGATACTGGGGAAAGCAGTTTTCAGGGCACACCTTGTTTGCTTTTTCATTCAGCAGATGCTGTAGTTGAGATTTGGGAGAGCGTTCTGCTTCAAAGCACGAGCGAAAAAGGAAAACTTAGCGTGGCTTCTGTTGGAAAGACAAGCGATGTCATGTTCTGTTAGGGTTCTTTTGGAATGGAAGAAGTGAGATAGGCCATCAGGATATGTCATGCCTTTGCAGTCCGCCTTGCCAGATTGGCTTCGCTCTTTTTGTTGCTCTTGTTCTAGGCTTGCTCATTGTCACTTTTTTGGGATCACATGAAAACTCTTTTTTGTTCTTTTTTTGGTTGAGGTCGGATCCATGCAAAACGTGCCTCTGGAGGGAAGTTGATCTTTTACGATCTTCGTGGGGAGGGAGTTAAATTACAGGTGATGGCAAACTCAAGGTAAGTATTAATTATTTAATTTTTTCCTGATCATATAGTTTAGCTTTGGTTTGGGGCTAGAAACTGGGAGAATATGAGTTCTTGTCCCACCTTAGGCACAAAGCCAGCTGGGTGACCTTGGGCCATTTACTCTCTCTCAGACCTAGGCTGTGGCAAACCACTTCTGAAAATTTTGCCAAGAAAACTGCAGGGACTTGTCCAGGAACTCGCCAAGAGTCAACAGTGACTTAAAGGCACCAAAAAACTCCCCAAAACTTTTGAGGAAGGATGGAAAGAACATGAAAATGAAACCATGATCTGATTAGAGGCCCAAGATTGCACTAAATAATGGTGTCCAAAATGGGTACTTTCTTTCTAGAAGAGGATTAAACCAGAGTTACTCAATCATGTAACTTGTTGAACATATTCTGATGTTTGTGCATGTTATTTGAACAATTTAGGAAGTGTTGTAAGTTCAACCTATCCTGTTCAAGAGCTAAGCTCAAAATGCTTTGGTAAGGATGGCCTGTTTTGAGCTCTAAACATTTTGAATATTTTGGAAATATTTCCATTTTTTTAATGGTCAGAATATCTTAATAATATAGCTGTATGTTCAGTAACATCCCAGTGTGTTTTATCAGCTAAAGTAAGCAGTGGGACTCAGTATGCTTCTGGCACTGGGGAGACAAAGACCAAGGTACTACACAAGGAGAGACTTGTTAATGCTAAGATTTCTCAAGGAAGTTGTCCTCATGACTACCGGGTACTTATCTTAATGGCTGTTTGCTACCTCTGGAGTCTCAGGCAGTATATCTTAAATGTCAGTTGTTGGGGAGTAGTCATAGAAGAGGGATATAGTTCTGTTGTCCAAGCTTGCGAGTTTCCAAATCCATCTTACTGACTGCTGTGTGATATAAAATGCTGGACTAGGTAATCACTTGGCCTGATCCAACATGTGACTAATCAAGTTCTTCAACATAAAGTGCCTTGTTAAACTAGTGGTATACAGGTAACTTTATAGAACAAGATTCACACTTTGTAACTAAGCCTGAGATTGAAATGAGTTCAGTTTCTTTTCTAGGCTTGGTATGTAAATATTTTTTTTCACTTGTGGAGAATCAATTTGGAAAAAAATTAAATAATCTTCAGATCTTTTTTCTGAGGTATAGAATAGAGTGGATTGTGAATGCTTCATTTATAGAGCTGGGAAGATTTACCTAGAAGTGTTGTTTAATGAATTTAAAAACTCTTTAGAAACTACAAATCTGAAGAAGACTATATGTGCATTAACAACAAGCTTCGCCGTGGAGATATCATTGGGGTCCAGGGGAACCCTGGCAAGACAAAGAAAGGGGAATTGAGCATTATTCCTTATGAGATTGTTCTGCTCTCGCCATGCCTACACATGCTCCCTCATCTTCATTTTGGGCTCAAAGACAAGGTATCATACGTGCTGCTGCCTTCTTGGCAACTCACTTGATAGCCTCTAAGAGTGTTTACTTGCTGTGTTTTATGATCTCCATTTTAATTTATTTTTAGGAAACCAGATTTAGGCAGAGATACCTGGATTTAATTCTTAATGATTTTGTAAGGCAAAAATTCATAATCCGAGCAAAAATTATAACATACCTTCGAAACTTCCTGGATGAGTTGGGCTTTCTGGAGGTGAGTGTTTGTTTTTATATGTTAAAAATGCTGTAATTACTTGCAGATGTCTCAAAGAGCAGTCATTTTATAGCACTTTCCCTTGGGTTGGCATGCTTAAGTTGTACAGAAAAGACAGTTAATACAGATAACTTGTTAAAATAAAAATACATTTACAAGAGGCCAGGCAGGGCTGTTATAGAAGAAGTTGTGGTTGGGAAAGCGATCTTCCATGTCCTTCAGTGTAGCTTGTTGAGGGTACTTCCATACCAGTGCTTGCTTCAGAAGATATTCCTTCTGTGTATGCTGGGCATCCAGGAAAAAGGCTCTTTAGAATAGAGGTGGAGGGAACAGCAGCTGCAGGGTGGTAGTTTAGAGAAGCAGAGAAAAGGAGGGGTGACTGGTGTTGCGGCTGAGTTCCTGCCTGCAAAGTCAGTAGCAGCAGTGGGAAATTGTTGATCTGTGTGCAAATATGAACGTACATGAGAGACAGCATATAGCCTCCCTGACAGAGGACACTGGTCTGACACATCTCTGAATAACTTCCCTCAGTGGTTCTGTCTGGCTCGTGGGTACATGGAAGAAGTGCCAGGGGGTCAGGTAAAAATACCCTAGGGCCTTCCATTAATGCCCCATTGGGCAGTGAGACATCACCATCTGTGTAACACTAAGGCGATGCATGTGAGAAACCTAGCATAACTGAAAGCTCAGGGCTAGTCAGTAATTTCGTAAATGGCTGATGCAGAGATGTAGAAAGTTCTGAATTGCAAAATAGCAGTGGCTTAAAATACTCAATTTTCATTTAATTCTAGTTTTACACAGTTCTTTAAGCAGAGAGAAAGCTTTAAGGCATGTGTTTTCAGGCATGTTATATAGAATTGGATCTTTTTTAGTAAAGTATAATTAATAATAATTTGGAGCTAATTTTACAGTTTTGTTCACTGTACATTACCATACACTGCTGTCTCAGTGCCTTGTCTCACTTTCTTCATTAATAAACTCTTTGCCTTTTAAATTATGTTCTTATTGCAGACTTTTTGTCACTGCCTATCTGACTACCTGGAATTTGAATTCTTTAGGTTGGATTAGGAATGCTTTCCCATTTGCTTTTGCTGTCTTGTTTGTCTTGAAAATCAATTTCTCTAAGGTTCTTTATAAACACTGGGACAGTATTTTCTGCCTGTTCTTTGTTTCTCAACTAGATTGAGACACCTATGATGAATATCATACCTGGCGGGGCAGTGGCCAAGCCTTTCATCACCCACCACAATGAGCTGGACATGAATTTGTATCTAAGGATAGCACCAGAACTCTACCACAAGGTAAATAGTTAAATCAGGCAGGCAGTGGCTCAGATGTGCCCATGCAACTTTTTGTGACATGCCCTTTGTTTCGTAGTTGTCTTAACGCAGAAGATATGTGTGTCTCTATGTGCTTTGGGCGCTGGTTCCATACATGGGGCCTTGGCAAAACTCATGTGCAGAAAATACTTTTCCCTTCTGCAGAGATTGCTTGTATCTCCAGAAGCTGGGAAGAATTAGATTAGGCAAAGCCAGGTTAATAACTAGATAGTAAAAGACATAGTGTGATCTAGTCGTTTGACAATTGATTTAGAAATGGGGAATCCTGGGTTGAATTTAACTTTCAGTCTGGAAAATCACAGGATTACTTTGAACTATACGCTCTTTCATAATCCAACCCACCTTGCAGGTTGTGAGGATAAAATTGAAGGTTGAACCATATGCCTAGAGCTTGTAATAAAGAAAGTAGAATAACAGAAATGAAATAAAGAAGGGGAGTCTTTTAAGTAGTTCTAGTCTGTGCTTGTTCTGGATCTTATTGTGTG